CTGCCATGGCAGGGGGTCGGACTAGTTGATCTGCTCAGGTCCCTTCCGACACTAGAAACTATGAAACTATGATTAACATCTGATCCAGATTAATAATCTGGATCATCAAGGCATGGCAGGAGAGACGAGCAGATGGTTTGCCTGGAAACAAGTGGGCGGGCCTAGATTGAGATCGGCCCTGAGACGTCCACTTGTTACAGATATTTTCTTTACATTTTACAAAAGAACGCATCCCTTAGTTCTACTCCTTTCCTTTCCCTTCCTTTCCTTTCCTTTCCTTTCTCATGTCCTTGTGACAAAATATTTATCAAAATTCAGATTTATTGGAATCTGACTGGCCACACCATGAGTACTTCTGCTATGGCCTCAAACTTGCAACCTCTGGGCTGTTAAAAATGCATGTTACTGCCCACACCTCCCCAGGCTGTTCTTCTTTTGTTGATTGTATTGCTGTATTTGCAGCATAGTGGGCACTCTACATGCAAGCTTTAATGCTCAGTTGAGTAAACTATTTTACTGTGCATTAAAGCATCATGGAAAAAAAGTGCCATTATGCTACTGCACAGTAAATTAGTCTACTTTGCATTAAGCGTCACTAAAAAGGTGTGCAAATGCGCTACTGTGCAATAGCACAGTCTAATGTGTATTAATTGATACCTCACATTTGAGCTACTAAATTTAATGAGCATTAGAAAAGGCACATTAACGTGCGTGTAGATACACCGAGTGAGTTTCATTATATTAAAATTGTATCTTGATCAGGTAGAATAATCATTCCTTTCCTGCATAAATAAATATAAATTCAAATAACAATAAACCTTGCCTGACTATGAACAGAATGTTTATTATAGGTGTGTAACAGTTTCCTTAAAGCCTGCTCATTATGAGATTTTTGTCCAGAGAAAATTAATGAATGCAGTGGCATTAAATAGAAGGAAAATACTGTCATAGGGTCAGAACTAATTTGTGAATCCTTTTCATGTTTAATCTAAAGATTTAGAATATCTCATAAGACATTTTGCAAACAAGTTCTATTAATCCAAGCAAACTGTGTGTAGTGGCAATTTTTATACTAATTCTTGATCAACTAAGCCATTGAATACTACATGTATAACCTTGAGCTTAAATTTTCAATCTTATTTTAGTTATTTAACTTAATTAGATTCATACTGCTAAATCACTTCATATCGAGATAAAACTTGAATCTGTCTCTACTAGTACCATTTTCTTGGCTTTATAATGATACATTTTGGTACTTTCCTGGTAGGAGAAGTTAGTGATGGGTACGAAATATTAGAATTTTGCCACTCTGCCTTTTGAACTGTTACTGTTCTACCATGTTCCAGCAAAAAAATGGTATAAGAACCACACATCCAAGTCAAGTGACCTATCAAGTTGTACATGGATCTAATGAACACTCTTCATGTTATATCTAATAGTCTTATGCAGCTGTCACTAGTTGAATTAACAATTATATTGTGTCCATGGAGAGGTATAGGAGATGACCAGTCCAGTTCAACAATTTATTGAAAATTTATGACTTGCAGAGTTTCTTCAGTGCAATCAAGGCTGTGTATCAGGGTGGGTAATTATTTCAACTGGAGGGCCACTTAATGAGTTTTGGTGAGCTGTTGAGGGCTGCAAAGGTAGCCCTGCCCCTTGACAGGTACCCCATCCCCTGGTCACCATCTTGGGACTGGAAGTCCCACCCCTAGCCCTTGACTTTTGCCACTGGAAGTCCCTCCCATTGCCCCTGGAAGTACTCCTGGGTGGGGAGGAGGTTACCGTCTTGGAACTAGGGAAAAAAATGTATACTGAAAAGCAAATATCAACCATAATATATTTTAATTTTATTTCAAAAAATATTTTGTCTTCATTTGTGTGTGTAGTGTACATAGAGGTGATTGCATAATAACTCAAAATGAAGTCTTACTCTTGTATATTTGTGGCGGGAGCATAGAAGGGTGTGAGGGGATTTTGGGTGGATATAGGGTGTGGGTGTGTGCGCGTGCATGCACATGTGGGGAGTGGGGGATGGTGTGGGTAGGTGGGTATTGGGTTTTTGGGGGGGCTATGGGTGTGTGGGGCAGTGTGAATGTGGGGTGGGTGTGCATGTGGGGCCCCCACAAACATGCTCATCTTGCACATGCCTCCCTTGTGCACAGCCCTTTCCGCTACTGGTGGCAGAAGGCCCTTGGGGCACTCATGGCCCCTGTGGCAGAAGGACCCCCTGAAAGTACACATGCTGGTGAGCCCCAGGACTGTACATGGCTGCCATCGTGCATGCCTTGCATACAGTTGCTGGGTCCTCCACCCGATCCCCATGCTGGGGTGTGGTGGGGGGGAAGTCCTGCGTGGTGAAGCTGTTATGGGGCTTGGCTGGGACGGCAGGTAGAGGGGCAGAGCCAGCCCAGCTTCATAGTGCCTTTCCCCATAACCTGCACGTGGCAGTGGGCAGGGTCGGGCTGCTGGGTCCATTCTGTAGGGCTCCCCAAAGAAAGTGAGGCAGACTAATATAATAACCATATGAATGGGAATCAAGGAACTGTGTTACTGACATCTCTTTTTGCATACTCCTGTAACTTTTGGCATGCCCTGAAGCCCTGGAAACAATCCCTTTTGTAACTTGGGATTTCATTTTTTGTGTTTTTTCTATTTAAAAAAAGGGGGGGTGGAATTCTAGGTTGTTAAGCAGTTTCCTATTCTTCTTTCTTATCACTTCCTCTTCTTTTCTGTCCCCATGGACAGCAGTAATATATATAGTTATCATCCTAACCTTTACAAACTTGATCATTAGTTTTGGTACTTTAGTGATCTTTGACTGGTGAGATCAGTAAGTTCTGTTGTTGATTATGAAGTGTTCAGATTTGTCTTCTACTTGCACATGCTTCTCTCCCAAACCTCTTTGCTGCTACAGAATTATAACACTACAAAAGGTTCCTTAAAATTAATTACAAACTGACTGAAGTGCAGTGAGATGGCTAGGAGAAACTACTAGTTGTAGAGTTGAGACCTTTGAGAAATAACATCGTTAAGAAATCAAATACCCCCAAGTGGCGTGTGATTAGTTCATCAGAACTCCTCGTTGGAAGCCAGTGGTCCTCACTGCTGGGAGGGGAAGATGCCAACTGGCAGAGTGGCATATAGGGTAGTAGACAAGATAGCAGCTGCCCCCTTGTCCTTCCTTCCCCTCCTCTGGGGCTTTTCTGCCAGTTGGGACCAAGGGGCAGGGCAGCATGAAGGGCAGCCATTAATCAAGATAGCGGCTGTCCCCTAGTCCCTCCGCCAGTCAGCGCTGAGGGGCAGGGCTGCATGAAAGGCAGCCAGCAGTCAAGGAATAAGTGCAAACAGTCAAAAAACCTGAGGCTGAATCAGTTCAATCTTTGCAGTTTAGTTTAAGTTGCATAGATTGAACAGATTAAGCAAAAGAACAGACATTTACTTTTGATTCTAGAAATGCAGCCACATGCCTGCAGTGGCCCAGGGCAGAGTCTGGGGGATTTTAGAGTACACCTGGTGGCTTGGCTGGAGCAGACAGCTTTGGCCAAGGCTGGCCTACCTACCCTGCAAGGTGGGGGAGGTTGCAGGGGAGGTGCAAAGCAACCTGGGATGCTGGGGTACTGTGACTTAACTTGAATCTGGAGGAAACCTGGGACAGAGTTCAATAAACCGATTTTAACCTAAATCAGTGAAGTGTAATACTACATCCATCCAGGGTTATCTTATAAAATGCTTTCAAAACCAGTTTGTGCATTGAAGTTCTGTTGTGTTGCAGATTACACAAAATAGGCGTTGCGAACTGTGAGCAGGTTGCAAAAAAACCCTTTGCCTCTCCACAATTTAGGTAGATACCTAATTATATAAAGATAGATAACTGAATAAAAGATAGAGACTGTTTGTTCCCCTAATCTCTTGTGCAGATATTATGAAGACTTTTCATTTCTCATTGAAAGGCTTTAACCTTGCAAATCACTCCCCTTAGTAGTCCATCAGAACTCTAGGGCAAGATGGATTCATTTTGTATGGCTCTTACCTTCTTTAAAACATGTTTGAAGTAACTACCTGCTAGCTTATTAGGGCTGTAACAAACTAGTGAAATAAAATTAGTCCTGGCATAGAACTGCTCATCTTTCAGGAATTCAAGGACTGTGTTTAATTTGCAAGTGTAGAAGGAGAGAAAGCTGGGAGAACGTTTTTTGGGGGAGAGCATTGTTTTATTTATTTTGTTTTTTGCCTTGTTTTCCTGGTTAATCAAACATAATGTGAACATGTAGATGTAGATGTAATTCACAAAATCCCTACTCAAACCCTTATTGCTACTACCTACTCAAATGCAGTCTGTCCCACATCTAGGTCATTTATCAAGCTCATATTCTTCCATGTTCCCAGTTATGGATTACTCACTATAGTGCTAATGGTACACAATATGTTGTTGGGTCTGAATGTGTGCTGTTTAGCAGAAACAAACAGGTGTGTGTAGCTGCAATGACAGTTCAGTTGCTATTTCACATCCTTTTAAATCACTCAACTGAACTTAAGTGGAATAGCAAATTGTTTCTGCAGATGCCTGTTTGTGCTCGGGGTCAGTTAGAAAAAGATGGCTTAAAAGCCTTGTTTAAATGCCTGCATAATACATCCTACCTTAAGTATATTGAGTCTTAATTGAAGATTTTAAACTTACTAATGTTTAGTGGTGGTATTCGTCTTCACTTTTAAGGTAAACAAAAGCAACTTTAATTTTGGTTTCCTTTTGCATATTTTTAGTAAACCTTCAAGTTTAGCATCTGTCTTGTAGGTGAATGGATGAAATTTTGTTCCATTAATCTGCTAAAACAAAGTTGCTTCTGATTTAAAGGCAGTATTTGGTGTTCAAGAAATATTTTTCAACTATTGTTTTGAAATAATAAAAGCCTGTTTATATTACATAGATTTTTTTGGTGGTGGTGGTGGTAATTTTTGTTGGATTTTTCTCCCCCCCCTTCCCCTCTCTCTATCTCCAGTCTTCACGAGGAAATCATTGACTTCTACAAATATATGTCTCCTAGAGCTGAAGAAGAGAGGATGCGAATGGAAGTGGTGAATAGGATAGAAAATGTTATTAAGGAACTCTGGCCCAATGCAGATGTGAGTAGGACTCGGCATGATTTTAAAGCTTTTTCTCTTTATGATTTTTTGTTCATTTATGTAAACAATTTTCTTAATTAAAAGATCACCTTTTCTAATGAGAATAATGATATTAATTATTATTACTGCTATTGATATTAATAATGATGATGGTGATAACGTTTTCTAGCCAAATATAATATACAATGAGTGTTTTTCCCTGGAAGCAATGCACTTGAACATGGCATTTTAAAACGATACAGTAACAAAGGCCCTGTCCTAAGGATCTAAATGAGCTATACTACAGAAAAAGAAAGGGCATGAAATGTGATTAAGTTTTCATGTATTTTGTTGTCTTTATACCTGCAATGTGTTACTTAGGAGCATGAGGTTAGGCATAAATGCAGAGGTAGGTTGGTTTTTGGAGGGGGTAGCTTGATAGCCATAATGATATAAGACAGGGTCAAACTTTTAAGCCCCTGGGGGCCACACTAGTGGGACTGGTTGCAGCACAGGCCACACCAGGCATCCTATGTGAACACTCTTTTGAGCACTGCACTGCTCGGCCATGCAGGCAACTCTTCGCTGCTGCTGCTGCACTGGGCACCTCTCCCCCCACTGCTGCTCTGTGCAAGTGCAATCCCCTCCTGCCACAAAATGTGCCTGCATTATACCCTGGTACTCAGCCCTGATTTCGTCCTCTCTTCCCCCCACTTCCCAGCATGGCCCAGACTCACCCTCAGCTCCCTGTGCTGCTGCACTGCCCCACCCCTTGGGGTAGAGGCAGGAAGCTGCAGTGGAGCCTAGAGCAAGGGTTGTCCAGCTGCATGCCACCCCCCTCTTCACATCTGGCCACTGGGGGTTACACTGCCTCATGTCTGGCCGCTGGGGTTACACTGATTCAAAAAGGTTGAAAACTCCTGGTCTAAAGATTCCAGCTGCTATGCAGCCAGAACAATTAGAGGAGTCATGGCTGGTTAGGAGCCTGTGGGGCACATACAGTGTTCTGCATTCTCAGTTTTTATTTAAAAATAAAAAAATCCATGAATCTTTTGGGCTTTGTCTTTTGAAACATAAAAACCAGGATGAATCAGGATAAAAGGAAGAAAAACAAATTAGTTTAAATCAGCAGTGAGGGAGTAAGGCTCCTTAGACTAGGGAAGGGGCAGGGGGAAGTGCATGGCTCAGCCCATCAGGGGTGGGAGAGTGCGGCTCTTGCTGGCAGGGCTACAGGCTGGGGGGCATGTGCCCCCAAATTGGTGGTAGGAAGCACATGGCACCGTGCCCTGCCTTTCTTCCATGGCTGCGTTTGTGCCTCTCCCCCCTGCTGCAGCAGCTTGCTGCCGGGCTGCCCTGGCATTTGGGGGAAGTGGGTAGTGGCGCGTGGCTGGTTGTTGAAGGGGGGGAATGAGACCTGGCCCCAACACCGGCACCTCCCGCCCTGTCTGGGGTCAGAGCTAGGAGCAGCTCCAGCCCTGTGGGCCCATGTGGAGTGGCTGGGTGCAGTGCCTGATGCAGGGAGTGGGGCCAGGCTCTCCCTGCTGCCCCCCTCCCCAGGTGGGGCTCGCAGCTCCCAGTGCCTGGGGCAGGGCCATAACCAGAGCCGCCAGGGTGCAGCTTGGATCTGCTTGCCCTGGGAGGGATTCCCATGGTCTGTCCTGCCTCACCTGGGGTCAGAGCCAGGAGCCCTGCTTCTCCAGGCAGCAGCTCTAGCCACCCTTCCCTGGCCCCTGCTCATCTACTGCCACGCCACTGCCCCGTGCTCCCCACTCTGCAAGCAGCTGCCGCCACCACTCCTCTCCAGCCAGCTGGAAACCTGTGCCTCGGGTAACTGGCACAGCGACGCTTTTAGCTTACCAGCACCACCTGTTTTTCAGTTCAAATCCCCGTTCACTGACACAAGTGGGGAATGGGCCATTCCCCACTCGTGCCAGTTAAACGGGGATTTGAACTGAAAAACAGGTGTAAATCAGTAAAAACTGAATGACTTGGAAAAAAAAAAATCGGGATATATCAGTGAAAATTGGTAAAGACTGAGAATGTGGAACACTAGGCACATATTGCCCCTTTGTGCATTTCCAGTTGGATAGCCCTGATATAAGAGATACTGGTATAGGCAAACAAGAAAGAACCCAAAATTAACAGATACCTCTGTTAAATTGTAATATGTAAGATATCGAATATTATTAAACAGAAAGTGTCCTGTCACAGAAGTTTTTGCAACTCTAGTACCTTAGATCTACGGGTCCATGAAATAAGCCTACTAGCTAGAGCGGAAGAATATCTGTGATGCAACATCTACAGATCATGTTTTAAACAATTTCATATCAGATTTGATTTATCAGATTTTTTTCAGTTGAAAAGAATCTGTTTTTTTTGTGAATAGCTAGCAGGGCTAGTAAAATAGTGGGGGAAAATGGTTGGCATATATATACATTTCCATGGTCTTTATCCAACTTATTTGTAAATTAGCATTTATCCAATCATAAAACTACCTGAATACTACAGATTTTTCAGCTGAATAATATTTTTGACAAATGCTTGTGAAATTTAATTAAATGATGTATTGTTGAACACTGTCTTCAGTATGTTTCCTCTAACTTGTACCTTCCTATGTTTCTTTTAATCTTGTTTCTTTTCCTGCTGTTTCTTTCTTTCTCTCAAACCCCTTTCTGCTCTACTTCCTTGTCCAACTTATCTTGTTACACTTCACCTCCTGCCATCTGACCTTAAGGCTTTGAAGTTTAACCAGAATCCAGAGGACTGCGTATATTTAACTCATGCAGATACATAAACAATGAATGGCTCCTCTGCTTAGGGACAATACCTATGCAAAGCCAATTCTCATTGTCCTCCAGATTCTGGGAGATCAGGTGGCTGGAGTTTCTATTCTCAATGGAATGGACATAGTATAAAAGGGACTTGAAGCTTTTTTTCTGCTGGAAAAAAAAAGGTAGACATGTCTTCCAGAACCATGATTACTCATGTATCCTAATGCATATATGCAGGCCATTATTGACCCCAACACTCGGATAGGGCTGAGAAGTAGCAGAAACGTTATCTCAAGGTGCCTTTCCCAGTTCCAGATGCAAAGAAATCTGTGATACTGGAGAAAGAACCCCAGATTGAGATCCTGTTGGAGATGCCCCCTGACAGAACCATTTCCAAAGGAACATGTTCCCCTGGAGGTCACATGTTGTGAACAATACAATGTGGTGCTCCTTTTGTAGGTATATCATATCCAGCTTCTAGTTTTGAGTGTGCAACCATCTGCTGTGTTTATTTGTAACGACAACTTGTCAGATCTAGAAGATGGTAATACCCCCACTACTAATGTGCTAGGAAAAAAGAGTAAAGGAATGTTATGCCTCTCTGTGCAGTCCCTTCCTTTAGAACTTTCTTATAGGTTTACCTAATGATTTTTCCCCTATATTGTACTAATGTCTGTCATATTGCTCGGGTCAGATCCAGTCTACAGTTAGATTTGGCATCTAAATATAGCAGATCCAGCAAGTTGCCATACTCTTCCATGATTAAGAGGAGAAATGTGCATGTTGCTATACCATTCTCAACCTTTTTAGACTTGTAAAATGTCAGCTTTTAGTTTTCTATCTTTTCTTGACTACAGAAAAATAATTTTATGTTGCAAAGAATTCAGAAAGATCACAACTATGGATTTGTGTGTGAAATCTCTGAGTTTATCTTGTGAATCATGTTTGCAAACCTAACAGTGCTGACACTGTGGTACCCTGAGACACCCTTGAAAGGATTTTAAGGCACCCCAGGGTACTATAGCACCCTGGTTGAGAATCACAGATACACTTATAGAAGAACAAGATTCTAGCCCTGTTCAGATATTAAAAAATGAGCCTGGCATGGCTAATCTACTGAGATGACTTATATCACTGTTAGTGAACAGCCCTATTTGCTTTTTTCCAGTCATTACTAGAAGAGCAGTGTGCTTGCTATAGCAAGTAGCTATTTCCTGCTAGAGGTCCGAGACATTTTCTCTCATAACACCTGAAATTGAAATCCATTTAAAGTTCCCAGTGAAAAGAAACAATGCCACAATCTGTCTAATACTCTGAGGGAAGAGGCTGTGATGCCAGGGGAATATCAAGAAAATGATCTAAAGAGGGGGGACTCAGACCTCTTCAGTTGGGCTTGGAGGATTATACCTGTATGTATAGTACAGTATGCGGTTTTATTCCAGAAATTAGTTGATATCATGATAGTCTCTGTCTTGTAATAGCATGACAAGCATTTTCACTGTTGTCAATATTCTTGAGGCTTTCAAAGAATAAAATTATGCCACCAATAATTTTGCCTTCCAAACCAACACAATTGGGATAGTTCACTTTTGTATCAAGCAATATCAAAGGAGACAGATTAAGTAAACGGATCTTCACATGTAGGGCTTTCACTTTTCATACTTATTCTTCTATCTTGTTAGTGGTAGCTATAGTTGGCTAGTCTAAAGAGACTGCAGAGACGCTGCTTCGTGGTGTCTGAGTTTATCCTTGTTCCAGAGGGATTGGGTTTCTGGCAGCTGGCCACTTGGGAGGAGTGGAAGGGCAGAGATTTGTGGGCCACAGATTGCAAGGTTGCAAGCTGCGGCCTGTGCTGGCAAAAGGTTGCCAACCTGCTGTAGATGATAGTGTAGTGTTGCAGCTCGTGGCTTGCAAATTATTGCTGTCACATTTTAAAAACTTTGCATATATTTCCAAATTAAGATGTGGAGTGTAAACAGATTAAAACTTAAAAAGATTACAGTAAATTCATTACATAAAATGCAATTTAGAAATCAATATCACTTCATCTACCAATTGGATATTAATTCTTCGTGTTTGTTGAGAGGAAGCTTCAGTATTTTAATTAATCACAATTTGATTCATATAATTTTAGCTTTTAATTTCAAATTAGAGTTGCACTGAGATTTAAATGTTATATATGATTTGACAGTGAAACACCAGAAGTCAGGTGTAACCACACTAAATGTGCATTACAATCAAGTATGTGTA